AAAAAAATCATCGCCGGTGAGATGAAAGAGGCGGAAAACCGAGTCCCGTTCTGTGGCCGTGAGTGTGGTTAAAGTGTTTGGAGGTCGGGGTTTCCCGCGTGCTCGGGCTTTTTGTGGTTTATATAGCTCGAGCGCACGGCAATTATCGCGCTGATGCGACTCCAAGCACGTGGTGTCTGGAGTCCTGATCCATTCCCCTGCGCTGGAATCTATCACGCCTCTTTATATACGGCTAGACTTGTCCTCGGACAGATGTTGGTGCGCGCGCTCCCATTACCGTTTCCCCCCCAACTCTCTTTTCTTTTCAGTATGCGTTTTATTAATCTCCCGGTACGTACCGACATGCTGTCGCCGCTCCGCCGGGCTGTCGGCTCGCTCCGGACTCCGCTCATCATTTCCCAGTCAGCGGGCACGCATCGCTTACCTCGGGTTTTAAACTGTAGGCTCACAGCGCGCGCGCACCCTTGAAGCTGCACGAGGCTGGACCGAGTGAGTCACTGGAGCTGTGAGTCAGGTAGAGGAGAGGCGCGCGAGGAAGGAGTAGGGTTTCAGTCGGTCGCAGGGGAGAGCTGTTGCGCAGGTGTRCGCAGGTATTCTGGCTTTACGCTCGTTTATCTTCATCTCGAGGAGGCGAATTAAAAATAAAAATAAAATGAGGGGGAAAAAAATCCTCACTGGGGTCTCTGTTCTGTGCCACACAAGGTTCAGTCACATACGAGTTTCATTAAGTGAAAATGAAACCACATGTACACAACATGAAAGATGAGCTCCTACAGGTCATTTCTGCAAGGCGCAAATTACGCACTATTTATTCTACTAAATTACAGTTATTTTAGACAGTATTTGTTTTAGGGTTTATTTTTTTAAAGACTGTTAAAAAGAAAAAAAATTGCTCCGCATTTTTGTGAAACATCTGAATTTTTTTCCTATTAAATCCCAGGACTTAAATGTAAAACATATTTAAAGATATGTTTTAGAAAAGGCAGCAGAAAGTTACGCAAAGTGGCTAAAACGTATTCCATCTCCAAATGACTTAAAATAATTAAAAAAATAATTATATAGGTTATACATTTAAGGATCAAAAACTGCTCTGATTTTGCTTAGATTTGATCAATTTAATATTGATATAATTAAAATAATATACAATAAGAAAAATAGGATGTAAATCCAATGCAAGTGCTCAGATATTTTAATGGAAATTTGGCATTTTATTTGTAAGAATGACATAAAAAAAACAAATTATCTAATTAAAACAAAAAATAAATAATTAGTTGTTTATAATTTAATTGTTAATAACGCAAATTGCATCTTTACACGTCACAATATAATTTAGTTTTATTTAAACAGTTTTATTTAATAGTAACTTGCACAGTGCGGATGCTGCCCCCTTCCTCCTCCACTGTAGAGGGCATCATTGCCCTCTTTGAGTCTCTACATCTCAGCCAGAGCTCCCCCCCCCCCCCACACACACACACACACTTCTTCCCTAATTACCCATCAGTCTCCCAATGAGACCTTTCTGAGTGCCACATCACACAGCAGCGTGAGGATATTACCGTTCTGCGCTCCTTTTTTTTCTCTCTTTCTTCTTCCAAACAAGTTTTTATTGCACAAAGTCTTTAAGACAAARGCCTTTGATACTGCGGGCCTCTTTCAAAAATAAATTAATGACTCGGGGGACACAGATGTTAGAGTATTTTAGATCCCGTAGCTTGTTTTTATGTCGGAACGCTCAATATAGCTTTAATATTTAATTAAAGAAAACATGACTGTTTTGAGACAACAAAGGGGTTTAATTGCGTCTGCGCGTTTAAATCATCTTGTGTGCGCACACGCGCGTGTGTGTGTGAGGATTGAGGATATATATGTGCTTAAATATATAAGATCTGCACTGACATGCATTTGGCACCTCGTCATGTGAGTGGTGTGGAAGGGTAAGAGGGGGRAATAAAGAGTGATTGAGTTACATTTCCCCTTAAAGAGTGCCCCCCACCCCCAAAACACCCATGGTTCACATTGTTCAACATCCCCAAAGATCAGCTAGCAATTCACGGATGGATAAATGTGAATAGTAGTAATTAAATCTGTACTAGTCATAAACACGGCCTTGCAGGAACCATGAAGGCAGTTTTTCCGAACGGAGTTGAGTTTCAGCTCGGATAAACGTCGTGGAGCCCACGTGGAAAATGTGTGGGAAAACGTCCAGCACCAAATGTAATTCAGCACATGTTCTGGATGAAATGTCGGGGAATTGAGTCTCGTTTAAAGCACTCGGCTCGATCCGCTTCGACTTTGACAGTTTTAAACTGTAATTAAACTGTAAATTTCTTAATTTGAGGGCAGCTCACGACCGACCCGTCAATAAGGGTTTTCAGTAAAATTTACAAACTTTGTGTTGTTTTTTTCCTTCCCACGCAGACGAATCGGTTTTAAATTTACATYGATGCACCCTTTTAGTCCCATCAGAGGCTGCATAGTTTCTCAGCTCAATCCACCCCCAGACCCCGAACTCCCCCTCTCCCCACCCCACCACCTCCAACCCACCCAAACGGGTCGTGACTTGAGCCCTGACAAGTTCAGCTCATCAAAGGCTGTTTGTCCCATCTGAATCCGCTTTGCCTCCCCGCTGCACTTCCAGCATCTGTCTTCCAGCTCCCAGGAGTCCAGGGTCCGCTCCACGTTCCTACAGTGAGGCCTTATGAGCGTCTGTCTCTCGTGTTATTCAGAGGTATTGAGCCGAACCCCCGTTTCAAAGTTTTAAAATTCACTGTTTGATGTAAGGGAAAGACAGCACAGAGAAAGAGAGAGAGAGAGAGGGGTCATTTTTTGTGCCAGAGTGCACTTGGTGAATAAAAATATCACTTTTTCTGCTTCTCCGTGGCAGATTTATTCCAACACAAAGATTAACTTTTGATTTAATGCAAACCCTGGACTGTTTTCTCGTTTTTTTCCCTCCCAGATATTTGACTGATCTTGCTGAGCATTAGCAGATCTAATAGGATGTTGTAATGAATCTAGCATAAAGCCGTTCAGCCGTGCAGTAGGTCTGCAGCTCGCCTGGCGCGCAGCTGGATCTTCTCCCTCTCTCTCTGGTGTTATTCATCTACTGTGTTACACTGGCTCGGAGTCGCTGCACAGTAGGAGTAGTGGCGAACAGTAAAGAACCACAGCGTACCACATTGAGCAGGATGTGCCTTTTGTGATTTATGGTAATATTGTATTTCAGCCTCTCAGTTTCAATTATTTGCTTAAAAAAATAAAGAAGACTCAAACTCGGCTGACACTTGGTGGCTAATTCTTTTTTTCCCTGCCGAGATATCAAGCGTGTAATAAAACGTTTCTGTCCTCATTCCCACTTGGAACGACACGGATGGCGCGAAGCGCTAATATGTGCACACGCTCGCTGTCTATAGTGCTGACAGCAAACTAACCAGAATCGTTCCTATATGTTGGTCTTTTTTCTGTTTGTGGGTTTTACTTCCAATGTTGCTGCATGGAAGGCAAAGTGATTTTTGTTTATTAGCTGAACACAGGGCGCAGAGTTGATGCTAAGAAAAAAAAAGTTAAATCAAATTAAAGATGGCATGAAGGAATATGTACAACTATACAGCGCAGAGTTTTAGACCAGATTGAGAAAGAGATACAGCTACACCAAATTTTAGTTCAATATGGGCCATTTTTGTGTTTTCCAAGGTCAGTTGACTGGAGTGGTCATCTTGAATTGGGTTGTTTTTGAAAGGTAATTAATTGTAGACAAACAGTCATTGATTTTTAGATCTTGTTGCAGAAAGTCTACGGCAGACATTTATGTTTGTTTTGTGCGTCAGCGTGGGGGTGGATATCCCATCAAACACTGAATCAATTGTAACGAAAAAAGCAAGAGAGTTTCAAGATCGCAGATTAAAAAAGTTGTGTCTCACAACTGGGCTGTTGCAGCCCACGTAGACCACAGCCCAGAGGCCACGCCCTTCGAAGTCCAGGTAGGTTGAATAATGACACAGTCTGACATATGACCCCACATGACCCTATTACCATGTTGCGTTTATATCATAACACCCATAAACACTTAAAACTTAAAATGGAACATATACATCTATATACAAGAGGTACAACGTCCCATAATTTAATGTATTTTTAAAACCATTTTAAAGGGATCCTCGATTAGTTGTAACTTTAGACTTTATATGAAAAACATATACTTTAACTGTAAAATAAAGACTGTAAAAATACTGTAGGATGCTCAGTTTT